ATAACAGATGAGTATGGAAGCCCGCTTCAGCCACCATCAGATGAGCATGAGAACAGCTTCTCAGAATATGCTATAATTATTTCAAAGAACATGATCTGACGGAAAAAGTTGCCCTGAAGAAAGGCTTGGAAAATCTGCCATTTTTTTGCATCAACCTAATAGTAACAGTGTTATCTAAAAAAATTTTAACAGTAAGAAGGGCAGAAGTGTCTCGAGAATTCAGTCATCATTATCAGTTTGTGGCGTTTGATCTATGCTCTTCCAATTTTAATGATTTGCATTTGAGTGAATGATTTGCGAAAAGTCATTCCGGAGCGATAACTTAATAAACTGGAAAGTGGCCAAAAATAGATATTTTATTTCAAAGTGCTGAACAAAACTTTCAGTTCCTATTCATAAAATTGACTGATTGTGCAAGAAATATTGTTGATGACAGCTAATTACTGTAGCGCGATGGTGAGTTAAGGCTTTGGACTTGATGGTAACAAAAGTTGAAGAGATAACTATTAATTTCTGTTCCGTTCCTGCTCACTATACGGAAAAAAGGCAGCAGGAAGAAGAAAAAAGAAAAGGAAATCATGATTACGAAATCTACTAATACTATATGATGTAATCATCCACAAGCAAAATATTAGGTTGGTGCAAAAGTAATAGTTTAGTAGTAGTTTTTTCTAATCCTTGTTTCAAAATAACTTTTTCCATCAATCTTTCTGCTATGGAAAAACTTAGCAACCATTAAGAAGCTCTTTTCATGCTCTATCCAATAATGGTTGAAACGGGCTTCTACTCTCATTCTTTAAAAATTTATAGAGCTTCCACTATCGCACTCAAAGCCAATGCATTTACTTTTTCGGCCCTCATTCAGGCGCGACTGAAGGCATTCCTTTTAAATTTCAGTTTTTATATATGGTAGAAATTGTCTACATTATGCATACTTAGCCCTATTTTCTGTGCGTGTATCGACACCTCAACATGGGTAGTGTTGCATTCTGTGGTCCATGGATTTGCACTGGAGAAAGCAATTGCCAAACTTCGCTCACTTCTGTAAGCATAAGGGGAGGGCCTCCTTTTGACGGCTTTTTGAAGGAATGTTTAGCGGTTCAGTACGCAGAAAATGAAAAAAATTCGTAATTTGGGACTTTAGGGCTCATGAAAAAATGTTGAAAGGTGACAATTTTGCTTTTTGATTTTTTTCTGCAAACCTGTTTCTTCCAAGCCCTTTTCATCTTTATTTGTACTACTGACTTGCGGCTACAAGGTAAACTACTTATCATTTACACTAATAAGTTTTGAAGGGAGCTATGGCCTTAAAAATGAGATATCCAAAAAAACTTTTCTGGCTTATCAATCCATATTTTTATGCCCATTGGTGACATGAGTATAGGGAGATGTGCGTTGTATTGAGAAATGTTATCGCATTGAAAAATATAGATGTTTTAAAAAAATTTATGGCGCGTCAAAGTGAGAACTCGCAAAACGCGCATTACTTTCGCACCAACCTAATATTTTTCAATGGACCGAAGTCCTCCTGGGTGCGAACGCCACTCGTGCTAAACGTTTTGTAAATGATTACTATATAACCCATTGACGAAGATGTGGACCACCGGTGGCAGATATCTCTTGCAAAGTCATATCATTTGTAGGTCTGGTATTTCTTCCAAATATTAATATTTTTTTCAGTTTTTTGCACTCTTGATAGAAATGTGAATAACTTCAGAAGAGAGTGATTTTCTATTAGGAATCCGCAAAGTTCCATGTGAAAACTGGAAATCGAGACTTGTACTTTACAAGGTGTTAAGCGTTATGCTTACGGCAGTTGGTTCTCTTGCTCTATACGCCGAATGAGGTCGCAAAAAATCCTTTGGTCGCCTTTGCAGCTTTCTCGATACTCTTCCAATGCTGCACTTTGGAGTATGTCTCTAACATTGGGTAAAAAATGAAACCGTTATGTTTGGATATTATCTGTTGTTACGAATCAGTTTCCGTTTTGACAAAAAATGTAATGGATACCGATGAGTGCAGGCGATTAGTGATATTTGCTGTGCGGACCAATGCATGCAATCTCTTTTCTTTTTTTCCCTTTAAGACGTCTTCTAACCATTCATCTGCGATTTGCGCCGGACTACCTGCACCAGAAATGAGATGGACTGAGTAAACCGTAATGCAGCAGTAATCCTGCTCTTGCCAATAATTTCTCATTTCTTTCATATCAGATAGTTATTGCGCAAGCACATTCGTCGGCATACGTCTACCGTAGTAGAAATGTTTTCTTAACTTATCTTTAACAATCATTCTTAAAATCATAAGGAGGACCTCTGAAACATTGCACTGAGAATTCTATCATTGTCTGCACAGAGAAAACCAAATCAGCTTTTTCTACCCTTCAGGCTCAGAATATGAAGTTGTGTCGGAAGTTTTGTTGCATTCTTTAATTGGTCATCAAAACTCCAAAAACACTGATAGATAAACTACTTGAGTAATTTGATTCAATTTTTATGCTCTTTTTGATAGCCACGTTTTCTCCTTGATCTATGCAGTACTTCGGATGTTATCGTCATAGCTTTTCAAGCAACTCAACAACGAGCCGATTTCCTTAGATTTTAAAAAAGCTTGTTGTGATATTTTGCAGAAGCTGTAATAGTTTTTGAGTAAAGTAAACCTTTAGTTATATCATACTTATTTTAGATTATAAACACCAGTGGCCGTATTCATCAACGAACAACCCAGTGGCCGAAACCCATTTAGTAGTTTTGATGAGTATCGATTCTACATCGATATTCATCAAAAGCACTAAACTGGGTTCCGGAACCCACTGGGTTTTCGTTGATGAATACGGCCACAGGTTCCCCACAATGGTCGGCCGCCTCATCGTGGCGTGGGAGTGACACTGGGTGTCGAGCTGCGATGCACAGTTGAGTGTATACCCTGGTAGGGCCTCTCAAGCTGTGAAGGAGTTTGACATGGTTTCGGCCAGATGCCTAGCTAAGAGCCGGCCAGGCAAGATCTCCAGTCTGGTTTTCCCGATCGCAAAAAGATCCTCCTCACTCCACACCCGGGTCAGCGATCGCCCCGTGGAAATCAAGAGTGGCCTAGTACGTCTGCTCTTGTAGGGGAAAATTTCTCATTACTCCGCCAGATAGAATAGAAAGAAACCCTGCACAAAGGATTCCGCCTACGACGCCAGGTGGTGGAACGATGTCAGGGTGCGCCTTTTGGATTGGACAAAACTACAAGTCTGCCCGGACGACACGCCATGGAGACTGCTTCATGCTCTGCACCTACAACGCCAAGACAGTCTGTCTCCAACGCCTACCTGCACGTCAGAGACCATTAGCATTATCAAATATTACTCACCAACATCAGCAGCTGACGACTCAGAACTGGATGCTTTTATGAAGATGTGGAGGAGGTCTAAATCTAATTTCATTCTACAGAACAGATAACAGATGGACACTGAGAACATCGGAGTGGATTCCTTGCGAAGCAAAACGTCCCCGAGGAAGACCTCCAACAAGATGGGCAGATGTGTTTGTGGAACGGATGGACCAGCTGAGAAATCAGCTGGATACGATTTTTGCACCTGGAACTCGTGGGCGCAGCCACCGACGTCAGAAAAGAAGATCTTGGATGTCTGAAGCGAGGGACAGGGATCAATGGCAACTTCTGTGCTGGGGCCCGTACGTCACGTGAGGACGGGCCATCTAAATATCGTAAGTAGTATATATCAAGTTCTTGAAGTCTGTCATATTTATCGAGATGAAAAAAAAACTGGGTTTATTGCGCCTATTTAGCGCATAAAAGTACCGAAAATTTCATACAGATGTTTTTTCAAAGCAAATCGAGCTTGGTTGTTTTGCAAAAATGATGATTAATGACAATTAAGCTTCAACTCGCAGAACTTTGCAAGCTCTCCTATTTTTGTGGCAGTTGCATGTTTCATAATTTTACTGAAAAGCGATACCTCCAAAGAAATATTCTTTGTTCCCAACAGCAGATCAGAAGATTCTAAAAGCACTGCCGCATAGTCCAGGATTTGATTTGCTCTATTCGATATTTACCTATTCTTCTTTGAGAATGTAAATTTTTGAAAAGTAACCAAACTTTGAAGAGGTACAAATGCAGGATGAAGTTTGGCAGGTATTTGAAAGCTTTCAGGATATTATGACTAGAAATTATGACCATTAGAAAGAGAATAAAAAGCTATATGGAAAGCATGTGAAGATGCTTTGAGCCTTTCACTGTACGCGATTTTATAGTCGTTTGAGAAAACCGACCAAACTTTCGGGGCAACTTAATCAGGGTGTTCCAAAAATGTGCCTGCTGTTTGATTGTTAGCACCTCTCTCGTAATAAAATTTTTCGACTAGCTTTATGCACCTTTTTGTAAAGTTGGCTACATAGATTCACCGTATGGAGCGTATTACCGACTGCTCTCCATTACTGTAAAATCAAAGTAGCAAATTTGAACAGGGTTTTGAGCCATGAAAGGATATATTTTGCCTCAGGAGAGAAACAAAACAACTTGAAAAATCTTACACTGGGCTAAAAAGATAAGTTGATTCTAGATGTGAAGTTCGCAACTTATCATAATGCTTCGTTAAAAAGTTACGCGAGGTAAGCAGTATGGGTCGTTTCTTTAGTGTCCCTAAAAAATGCAATTACACCGTTTAGAAAGCCCTGCAATCTTGTACATGGTTGAGCATTGAACTCAGCGTCCATTGAAGCCTTGTTGCAGAAATTTTTATTTATTTTAAATTTGTGAAGCAGCCGCTTTTTCCACAGTGAGACCATATACTTGAAGTTTCTTCCGCAATTTTACAGTGATGAAGAGCGGTCGGTGATTCGCTGCAGATCTAAGTTCGAATCAGCTCCTCAAAAAGGTGCCTAAAGCTTTTCGAATGATTTCATTACATTAGAGTTATTAACAATCAAACAGTAGGTACATTTTTTGGGACACCCTATATGTATGTAGATAACCAAAAAGCCAGGACAGGTAAAGTTGTCATAAAGCTTTATTGTAGCAATCTTATCACCTACACCAATCTTGCTGCAAATAGTCAACTAATAATTTTACTCTTATTCGCTGAGTTTCACTGAGGGAAGTTGTGGGTGTAAATTCTATTCTCTTTTGTTCCTCACTTATGCATCCTTTGCACCCATTAAGGGTATAATGAGAGTATCCACAGACATCCAAGATTGGTCGCATTACTGCGTCCGGATCGTTCATCTGAAATGATGTCTTCAGTGCAGGTAATCGGCGGTTTTTATAGTCTTACCAAGTCTTCAGCATAAATCGTTTCCAAAGCGTAATACTTCAAAGTTCGTTGATAGCTAATTACGCAGCCCATTATTTGGGCCAAAGCGAACTCAAACGGAGTTGTGGGACCAATTTTTCTGACCATTTCCGGCTCAAGTAGCCTCCAGCTTGTAAAGAAATCGCACAGTATAGATGAGTAGGAAAGCAGATTACATGCCTAAACTGTATAAGCAACAGTAAGTGAAACAATTGCTTAGTCGAATTCGTACTATTTCAAAAACTGGCATCTTTGCTGAAGTTGCCGATATAAGTCGGGGTATTCCAAGAGTAGGATCTCTTGATGTAACGAATAAATGCTGTATAGATGGCGTGGAAGCATGCACATATGGCACTATCTTAGCACAGCATGATCTGGAATAGAACTGGTAGAAGCACAGCGACGTCCAACGTTGACCATTAATTGTAAGTCGTCAAAGACTTTTAGAACGATCTCTAACTGCTGTAAAAAGCTCAAGCAAGATGCGAGGATTATAGCCTATAAAAATTGGGTAACGCTGTGTGCGGACTAGTTTGACTTTCACAGAATTCCAAAGAATTAAATATGCATGGTATCTGCATGCATGGTATAGATTGACTATAGATTGGTAAAGAACTGGATCCAAACTATGATTCGAAATTATTCTAACAAAATGTAAAGGAAACAATAAAAAAGCATTGGGCTCAGTTTTATGATTCTGGAGCAATAAGCGATTGAACTTAGGTTCTCTGGCGCGTTTTCTGATCTTACTCTGTTGCGCCGCAAACGAAATAGCTTTTCTCCAAGTGCAACTGCGGACTGGCTACTGTCGGCGTATTCTGAAGTCATTATTACCTTCCTTAAGTAGTAGAAGATTTCTCAAATTTACGTTGGAAACATAAGAATTTCTAAAACACATTTCACATTTTCTTCAGTTTTTCAGAAGAGAGTTGTAAGAATTGATATGGGAAGCGTTGCGTGGACGCATCCGTCGCCAGGCGAAATTGCAGAATTTTAGGGCCTGTTCTTGCAAAATGCTAAAATTTGTTTGCAGCTTGGGATTTATGTCGTTTATCAGAAAAACCTGAAAATAGCGCCAATTTTTTTCTACCTTTTTTGGAGGGACAGGACTTTTTCCGCACCCTGTGTATGTGGGGATTGTAAGGGCATGCACAAAGAGTAGGTTTTCCTTATTGTGTTCGAAACTTTGAGGTAGGAAATCTTCAGAGAATTATTCCCGTCTGTCGCGTGAGAAGAGGACAACATTTTTACCCCGTTTCATGCTAGATGGTTTTTTTGCTATATGTTTATGAAAGTATGGTAAAGAACAATTGAGTCAAGGGGAAAAAATCGCATTTTTTGGAAGTCACTTTTTGATTCATTGACTGAATACTGGCTACTTTATAGATAATACTGTCTTACCGTGATCCCAATACGGCATCAAAAATATTAGATATGTGTTTAAAGGGAAAGCGCTGTTCTGCTTATGGGCCTCCGTAGAAATTGCGTCTTTGTATGCATCAATCAAGAGATGGATGTGGCAACGCAGCTTTTTCTCTGTGCACAGTCAGTAGTTCAACATATGAAAGAAAAAAAATCGAGGGAGCTTACAAAGTCGAACAAAGTAGAATTTTCCACGGTTATATGAAACGATACGTCTCTTATACTCTAATTCTCTAGATTTGGACAATCTCATCACAAGGCGAAACAGGGAAAAGGAGGTCAAAATGAGTTAAAGCTTAGATGAAAGCCATTCGAGCTGGGCAAAAAAATCTATCTCAAAATTATCGCTATTGCAGTGGTTTAAGATTCAGTCTACACATGCATTTTACTTCTGTTTGATCGTCACGCAGAAAGCAGTTCTTAATGGTGTCTGGATCAAAGCCTACCTCGTTTTCATGACAAGGATCTGGTCACTCTGCAAATGCTGCATCGTGAATCGTAGTGCAGCATTTGTTACCGATCGAATTGTTTCTATCGACACGATATTGACGAGCACAGCAAGCGCGCTTAGGAATGGTGGCTCACTGTGGACGAGCAATAATTCCTGTGATTGATCAACCGAATCGAGCAGTCGAGCCAACATGCTTCCACCGCAACACGGTGAACTGTGCAGCATTACAACGCGCCCTGCAATAAAAATTTCAAGAGTTTCTGTTCTACGAAGATGGCTTGCAAGCCATGTATATATAGACTAAGGTAGACGCTGCAAATGCAAAGCTTCTTTCTTCAAAGGTCGATGCAGGATTACAACTAAATACAGTGGTAGGGTAATGCAGCATTTTGTAACCGTAATGATAAAGTTGCTAGCACCATATCGTGAACCGGCAAAACATTTCACACATTTTTCTTATTTTCAAACCTTTGAAAAAGTGCTGCGTACAGATGCTTTATGTAAGCAGCGACGGTTAGAGAAAGCAAGAGAGCTTCCCCCCCCCCTCCGATGGATCACAAAAATTTCCAAAGACATCTTCAATTACAAGCCCACAAAAACTGAGGAGCATTCAGAAAATGTTTCGGATCGTTTTCCATTATTCTCTTTTCTAATCTTTTGTCGCTTTCTCCTCTCTGAACCGAATTTTTCAAATTGCCACTGGCTACAAGTAAGCTGAACCGAGTTTATTTTCGGAGAATATAGAGCTCGCGAAGAAAGGCAGCTGTAAATGCTTTCGGTTGTCTAATTTCACTGCACCTCTATGTAAGCTTATTCATAGAACGAATGACAAATCCATCATTTTGGGCGGTGTGACACAGGGTGAGCCGTATGCGTGCCAAGACCCTAAGATTTGTCAAGAAGTAACCTCATTGTTGCCGTTATAAACGCTTAAAGATGATCGGGCTCTAAAAGCAAAAGCACACCTTTATAACGCATATAGACGGCTTTGAGAACGCTTGGAATTGCTATGTGAGTGGGGTTCCTTAATAATTAGGGTCCCCCCCCCCCCGGCCCAGCTTCTCATTTCTTTGTCAGCCCACATTTTATTCTTGCACTTCGATATAAACGGACCAATGCAGCCTAACTCGACATACCTTTTGAAGGCGATATTGACGATCTCACTTCATGAGTAAATATATTTATATCCATTCTAGCGGCACGATCAGAATAGGAGTGCAGTGCAGAAGTCAAGCGTGGTGCGTTGCTTATTGATAATGCTGTACTAGCTGGAATCCGTACAAAGTACACATATCGGTCTGTTATCGTGTAGATCATCCAACTGCAAATTGTATAGAATATCAACTAAGACGTAGTAGTAAAATAAAGTTTGCATAATTACTTATTGTCCTTGAGGTCGTTCAGATTTCCAAACCCGTCATTAAATATGAGAAAATCATACTCCTGAGCTATATCAGTATCTTCTAATCGGTACCTGAAAGATAACAATTGATGATCTTACCCTTCATCTATTTAATGCCATCACGTCTCGCGGGCTCGATGTTGCAGTAGCTGTTAGAATTCACAGCGCATTCTTCTACAAGACAATTTTGCTTGTGACAGAATACTAATTCTATGTTACACATCGTGCTTCGGCATGTCGGGTGCAAAACTATTTTTTTACTTTTCGAACTTTTCTTATGTTTCATTCAATGTTTTTCCTATATATGACGAATCAAAACTCTGCTTCTTTCTTATGGCTGTCGCAGTCATTTATGAACCATTCAGAACAAATTAAGTAACCTCGCTTTGGCACACTTTGTCATAATGGCACATCACGCTAGAATGTATACTGTTCAAACACAAGCACGAGGAAAATGTCTGCTGCATACTCTGCTTTTAGAAAGGGTTTGACGACAGGTATATCGAGTGTGCGTGATTTCGCACTGCTTTTTAGATACTAGTTGTTGGCTCTCTTAGATTCACTTTTGGAAGTCTACGCGCTTGGATTTGCTTAGGTACCGCTGCTAGGAAAAAGAAATTGAGTGATTGCTTAACTAGAGCCTAAGGGGAGTCACATGCACGTTACGTGTGATCCGCGGGAAATTAGCTTCCAGGCGTAAATCACTGGCGCGTAGCCGCTTTCCTCGATCTCATGAGTATGATTGCAGTGTGGACATGTTTACACATTCTCAATCAGCAGATCGAAGTTGTAACTTACCTCGTGATTATGCTGAAGAATTCAACATTTCCTATCTGCTCTGGTTGTGACAGCTTCCTAATCAAAGTGAATAAATCAGATTCCGCTAATATAATGACGCGAATAAGCCGATAAAATGCGTAGAAAAGTAGTTGTAGTGGCACCAGCAAGCAAGGATCAATACAGAACATTCTATAAAGCGAAAATCAGTTTAATACACGATTACCAGAGCTTGTGTATAGACTGAAGCGACGACAGTAAAGCTATGGTTGCAAGAGATAGAAAAATTCAGTCATATTTCAACTCATGCACTTCACCACTCCGGAATCGAAATGCGGCATCACTATCCCACAATGGTTCAAAGCAGTCGAAATGATGAAATGGGAGCGGTTAATTCAAATTTTGGAAATATCAACTGATTGCCTTCTGTTGGTATGTTATAGGTGATTGTGGCTGTAAGCGTTGCATTACTCGCATACGAGATTCAGCTCAAGCATTGCTAAAGAAGCGAAAGAAGTTTGCTTCTTTTTGCTACACACTTAAAAAGGCATCATTGACGCCATTCAAAAGGCCTTGAAACATGTAAAAAAATTTGGTATATGAGAAAAGCATGCTTGGTAATTCTACTATGAAATGCCAGAAGATAATTTTTCGAGACGGCGGCTGAGTCGCAGTGGCGCTCTTTATGTTTTTTCGACATTAATGTCTTGTTTTGGCCATAATGCAGATAACTTACGGGAACGTACTTGCTGCATTTCGATATATGACCTATGTCATGACATTCGTCATGCAAGTTGATCTGTGTTGTGAAAATTGTGAAAAAAAAATATGTTCTAACGATTCTTCTGCAAAACAGTGTCTCCTCGCATCCGATGTGTTTGCGTAAGAGTATGAGTAATGTCGATAGGTCTGAAGGTTCGAGTCGTCAGGCGGTTGCTGTCGATTAATGCACAATGGATGCCGTTTGATCTCTGTCATTGCAATTTTTTTAAAATTCATTCTAACAAGTGATATTTCTTTTCAGAAGAGCGTCCCACAGATAACGTACATAGACTCGAGATTAGCGTCAATTTCATGCATATCTCAGAAAGCCACGGTCATTAGTTATCCTTCTCTTGTTGCTGAATTCATCAGCTTACTTTCCCGATTGAGTCAAATGATTGGTAAAAAAGGGGCGAAAATGCGTTCTCTACATAAATCTTTTCTGGAGTAGTATGCAACCGTCGTCTTCATGCGGGAGTCTCTTGCTCAAGGTGGCAAGTGGAATAACGCGAACAACGTTGTCGGAAACGAAAACATCAAGGTGAAATATCTGAAGACGCACTGAGATCAAATTGACTTTTACTGCATTTTGACTTCAGAGTGCAAACTTTTTTACGACTATCCCGATTTTACGAGTACAGGATGCACCTATTTCAATTTTAAGCGAGCCGCCCAGCCGCCTCGGGTGTTGTGGGATGACGATTTTTACCGCACGATACTCTCAAGCAAAACGCATACCACTGTATAGGGTCCTTTGGTTGCGAAACATTTTGGTGTGTTCATGCTGGTCGAACTTGAAAAGAAAAATTAGTTGCGTCCTGTACTCTTGAAATCAGAGTAATTGTCTCCTGTTTATACTCGTTTACCCTTTATCCTATGTTAACGTTTTGCGAGTCCCCGCTTTGACATGCTATAATTTTCTAAAAGACCTACATTCTCCAATGCGATAAGGACCATCACAGGCAGAACGCCTTTCGCAATACAGCGGACATCCATCCTTCTCATATCACAAAGGGGCAGAGAAATATGGACTAATAAACGAAAAATTTTTTCCTAAAACCTCGTTCTTGACGAAACATCCCTTCAAACTTTTCGGTATAAATAATAAATAGAAATTCAAAATCCAAAACTATAAGCCTTTTTCAAAATTCCATCAAATTTTCAAACTCCATTATTTGCGTCTGAGATTTTGTAAAATCTTAGACTCAAATGGTAGGGTTCCTTGATTTTTTTCCGTACTGAACAGCTGAATGTTTCTGCAAAAACTATCAGCAGGAGGCCTACACTAACGTTTACAGAAATGACAAAGATTTTACGATTGCCTTCTTTAAAAGAGATTTATGGGTCACAGAATGGAAAAGAAACGATTACTCATATTGAGGCGGCGATGTCTCAGTCTAAATGATTTCTACAAAAATGCTAGATTGCGCATAACGTGAACAACTTGTATCGCATACAGTAGGTAAATTTCAAAAAATGCCCTTATGCGCGTTTGAAGTCCGGCCAGAAAAGTAAATGCAATGACATTTGAGTTTCAGGAGAGTCGGTTTGAAGCTATGTAGATTTTTAACGAAGAAGACTAGAACTCCGTTTCAACTACCATTAGATAAAGCATAAAAACGTCTTTATAGCTTGACAAGTCTTTTCCAAAGAAATTTCGAAGGAAAAAAGTCGCTTTGAAACAAGTCTTAAAAAACGCTCATTACTTTTTACTCCAACCTGATAGTTTGAGTAAAACGGCTAAGTAGAAAATGACAAATGCGCGATATTTACAACCAAAGTTGTAAATCATAAGGCTCTTGAGTATGGCCTAAGGCCTAAGGCATACCTCGCGCGACTCCTGTCGCTGCGCGATTTGGCACAACAGCGACTCTCTGTAGCTCGTCGTTAATGCGCTTCCTTTGGTCAGAACTTAAGCCAACTGCAACAACTTACACAAGCTATCCGCCTATGCGTTCGAGAAGCGCACACGATAAATTTGTAGAAATCTGGCAAATCGCCAAGTCACGAGGATGTGGCGATTTCGCGAAATCGCGAGAGGTATGCCTTAGGCCTATCGCGAAAGTCGCTGTGCAAATTTACAGCCACTGAAGCAAATGAAAATAAATAAAGATGGTTATGCAAGCAGATGCAGTGGTGGAGGAAAAACAACGCAGTAGATCCATGAAGACCTTGAATCGTTCCCCACGCAGCAATTAAGGTCTATAAAAAGTTCATGCGCCGAGATTTATTCGCGATAGCCATCCATTCTCTTTGGGGCCCTCAATTGAATGAGTCTTGTGATAATGGCAGGAGCACAGAAGCGTAGACAAAAAACAACCACGCAATAAAGAATGGAACCGGGAACAATAGAGTAGAAAAACGGCAGAGAAAGGGAACTCATGAGGTAGTTATCCCATAGTGTAACTCAAAGAGGAGATGTGCTGAAGATTGAATTTGGCAGTAGATATTGTGTGCCTACTTTAGTTAAGCAAATATTCTGTTCAACAATTTGCTCAAGGCAACTAACGGGATAAAACTATTATTGGAAGTTTGTGAACGAAAAGAATTATAAATTGTATGTTGCTGCTCCCTTCCCTTCTTCCTTCCGAGTAATTAGTTGAGCCACTCTTAGAATTTTTGTGCAGTGCCGATTAAGGGCGAATAAATCTAGCAAAATGAAGTCGGAGCCAATTATTTCTAACAAAAAATACAGAGTGTCCCGAAAAGATATGCATACTGTTTGATTGTTAATAACTCTATTGCTTTTACGTCTTTTGCCGGTATCAATCTGTAGAGGGAGGATAAACTTACAAGGGAACCGTGTCGAGTCGAAGTGGCCTTTCCAGATGAGACCCATACTGCTTTCAAGAGTATTAAGCGGTGATTCCAAATCTGTCTTCCAAATCTGCCAAGCGCCTCTGGACGCCGAGTTATGGCCGTTCTTCGGAACGAAAAATGAATGCAGAATTTGGTTAAAATTGATTGTTACAATCTTTCCAGCGCTCAGATAAAGCAATGTCAAGTGTTAGCATATTAAATAAAATGTATCCATTGCACGAACAGCTCTGATACTTGATACTGGACCATTTGAGCAAATTTGGGCGATTTTGCTTCAATTTTGCGTTCAATTTTTTGACCTGAAAAACAAGCATAACTCGGCGTCCAGAGGCGCTTGGCAGATTTGGAAAGCAGATTTGGAATCAGCGGTTAATGCTCTTCAAAGCAGTATGGGTCTCATCTGGAAAGGCCACTTCGACTCGACACGGTTCCCTTGTTAGATTTACAGTATGAGGCGAATCACCAACCACTTTTCGTTACTGTAGGATCAGGGTATGAACGTTCAGCATACGCGTCACTTTGGAGTAAGCCTTTTTGATGAAATAATTTCGAAAAATCTAAAAATTTGTGGAGCAAAGTTTTTAGGCGTGCTGGTCCCACTATATAACTTTCCGCTAGTTTTTCGAGCTTTCTTGATGGCGTATTCACATTTTTGACAAACATTGGAAATCATTTGTTACTTTGTTACCCTGGATCTGAAATAACTCATGAAAGAAACAGTGTACTGAAGTGCAATTTTCATATTTAGAATCAGCAACTTCGATTAACCCAGTTCAAGAGTTTCTGGCTTGTTTGGCTTTTCTTCTAAAGCAAAATAACGCTTCTAATGGCTTAAAATCTTCCTCGAAATTCCTACTGTAATCCCACAGTAATGAAAAGCTGCTGATAAGTCGCTCCATACTGTGAATTTTGATTAAACCTCACTTTTAAAAATGGTACTCGGCATTACTTAAGCTCGGCAAAAGACATGAAAGCAAGAAAGTTATTAACGATCAAACAGTGTGCACATCTTTTTTGAGACACCCTGTATATTGTGCAATGAGACAAGTGTATTAGATGTAGCTCCATGGGTTTCTTTTCAAATTAGAGAACAGCAGCATGAACTATTGTTTTCGAACGATTTCATGGCATTAATATCCATAGCACGCGAGAAACATAAACAGCCTTTTGGTATTATAGATGGGTTGGGTTATTAGGAAGGAAACGTTATTTTTCGTTATGGCATTTATAAAATAGATTTTTGCGGAAATCCTAGTCATAAAATTGCTTCTGCTGTACTCTAGTCATGAAATATGCCGAAGAGCAAGAACACTAGCGAACAATATTGCTACGACGCAAACTAGGTCTCAACTGCCCATCTTCTGACACACTCCCTTTTCAACCAATTGTTCTCCTCTGCAAGGCTAAAACACTAGATATGTAATTTACGAACTTGCTAGCCAACAACAAATAATGTTCGTTAAAGAGTGCAGCGTGAGGGCAGGAAAATTTGCAAATGCACGAATAACGCAGAACAGCTGACTTCAAAGCGTTCATCTCTCACATTTCTTTGTCGGTCCGCACACTCTGCAAAAAATGAGCTCAATAGGTCAGCTGATAGGTGGAGCAT